AATCAATGTTCAACTGTACTATTCACATCATTTTGCCAGACCACCCTGCATATGGACTGCTCCATTTTTAGCTTGGACAGTCTCATTGTTTCTTTTAAATGAAGATGACCAAGTGCCAAAGCATAGTACATGGAGCTGGTGTGATTTTCAGTGCTGTGGGAATTGGTATGCCCACCAAGTATTTTCTCCTACATGCACCAGTTCCCTATTTTTAGGGAACCGTTGATTGTGTGTTGATTATCGCCGTACCAGGACTCGACTTGTATTCTGGAATCTATTTGCTTGGTTTTCCGCATGAGTAGGCTGTGTGTCTTCATGGTTTGGTACTTCCTGCAGAACGCTGCGCAGTCCGACCTCATTCACTCTGCCTCATCAGTTCTTCTTCAACAATGCTCAGCTACAGACCCTGTAAGTGTAGATCTACCATGTGTGGCGCACAGTGCAATGTGTGGCGCACAGTGCAATGTGTGGCGCACAGTGCAATGTGTGGCGCACAGTGCAATGTGTGGCGCACAGTGCAATGTGTGGCGCACAGTGCAATGTGTGGCGCACAGTGCAATGTGTGGCGCACAGTGCAATGTGTGGCGCACAGTGCAATGTGTGGCGCACAGTGCAATGTGTGGCGCACAGTGCAATGTGTGGCGCACAGTGCAATGTGTGGCGCACAGTGCAATGTGTGGCGCACAGTGCAATGTGTGGCGCACAGTGCAATGTGTGGCGCACAGTGCAATGTGTGGCGCACAGTGCAATGTGTGGCGCACAGTGCAATGTGTGCAGCTACATGTACTAGTAGTAAGGACAGTGAAACCTATCTAAGACGACCGCTCAAGGGACCTTCAAAATGTGGTCTCTGTTACCAGGTGGTCTCCTTAGCCAGGGTCATTTGACTGGAAATAGCATCCCTTGATCCTGGCTTTAGTGGTCTTCTTGGACAGGTGGTCGCCTTATCCGAGTGGTCGCCTTGACAGGTTTTACTGTAGCAGGGTGCAATGTGGTCGCGGGTGGGTGGTCGTTGGTCGCGTTAAGCGAGTGGTCGCCTTATCCGAGCTGCTTTGAATGTTAATGCGTCCATGACAAGGAAAGGTGGTGGCCATTAGGCCATCATTTTTTATAGCTATGTTTCGCGTCGTCCGCACGCATACGTTTTGATTTTTTTTGGAAAAAAATAAAAAAATCGAACATGCGCAGTGAATGTACGATCGTGCGAGTCATAAGTGTGGACTGGTTGCATACGGCGAAGCTGGGATTCAGAAATGGCCTCTACTAGGCTCTAGGCCAGCATTGGTAAATCGTTTGTTCGGCATCTGGGAGCAATATTCTATGAGCTTACACCAGACCGCATTGATCGCCTCAAGCTGAGAGGATGCGTCGTTCCGGAGCTCTTTGCACCGCTGCTGAAGTCTGAGCACAATAATCCAGTGAAGCATAGGCACCAACGGTTGCCTCCTCCGTCCAAAGTGAATATTTACTCATGCTGATAACCAAGATGTTGTGCTTCGATGTACGATTTTTCTTTCGAATGTACACCATGCACCAGCTTTTGTGCTATGTACAGTGCATACACCTCTAATAAGCCTTTTTTATTATTTTGCAATTTTTTATTTTTTTCCACCTCTCGCATATGATTCTGGAAGTTGACCTGACGCGAAACATAGATATAAAAAATGATGGCCTTACAGGTTTTACAGGTTTTACCGGTTTTACCGTACATGTATACTGCTGTGTGGTCTATCCCTCAAACTTTCCTTCCATGGGGCCGTTTACATGAGAAAAATAAGCCCGGGCTTATTCAACCCTAGGCTTACGATAAGCCCGCCTTGATCTGTCACCCAGTCATTTTGGAGCGCGCGTTTACATGGTCAGGCGGGCTTATTCAGCTCGCCCCAAGCTGAACTAGCCCTACCCTTGACCCCCGAGCTTATCCAACCCCCACCCTTGACCCCCGAGCTTATCCAACCCCCAGGGCTTATTTTGTCATGTAAACGGTCAAGAATATAAGCCCTGGGCTTATTAGCGAGTTTTTCCGTATTTTTCGATTTTGCCTCGTGAACCTGAGAGAATGTGGCCGTGGACAGTGCGTCTCTTTTATTTATTTCTTGGCATGTTTTCTTCTGATTTTTGTCCAGTGGAAGGTCCTAGCCCATCCTTCACCTTCTAGAAAAATAAGTGACAATTGGAAAGGCAGTAGAAACCTGAGCCGGCACTTCTTGATCCAAATTTCATCAGACACGAACATTTACCACTGCGTTCATGTGCGATTTGAAAAATAAAATGCGCGCAGAACTCGCAGTCAGTCACCTGAACTCAGCCCCTACAACCGTCATGTAAACAGTTGAAAAATAAACCCGAGGCGAATAAGCCCAGGCTTATTTTCCTCATACAAACGGCCCCTATGTCAACTTGCGTACTGTGTTTGCTTGAAACAGCAGAAGCCGATTGTTATGTGCTTAGATGTGTCCAACTCATATTTTTTTGCTTTGTGTGATTTGTCTTGTTTGACGTGTAGATTCCTGTCGGACTCCATCGACACGATCTCCGCTGCCCTGCCACATCCCAAAGCTACCCTACTGTGAGTCACTGTACCTTTAGACTACATAGGCTGTGAACACAACATGCGTGAGTCACATGGTGCGCGCGCCTAGGTGATGTCGACCAAAGCTCATAGAACACGTATACTATATCTGCGCCCGTAGGGGTGTCCGTGCGTGCGCATGCTTCAAGCGCTCACATGCGTGTGTGTTTTTGATAACTGAACTACCGTATTTCCCCGATTGTAAGTCGCACTCGATTGTAAGTCGCATCCCCATTTTCAGGTCCATGTCATATCGTTTCAATATATTCACTTCAGTTGTAAATCATGCTCGATTGTAAGTCGCACCCTTTGTTGGGAATGAAGTTTAGTGTAAAAAGGTGCGACTTGTATTCGGGGAAATACGGTATCATCTTTTTTCAAATATGTAAGAACACCCGCGACTGACGAAGACAAAACTCTCATCAAAAGAAGAACATTTAAAAACTTTCCGGAAAAACAGCGGAAGAACAAAACGATAAGGTGGATCCGCAAAAGCACAGGACATGTAGAAACCGGGTCATAGCTTCAGCAGCACGCGGCTACTGCTCGGTATGGTGCCATGCGCTCTCTTGAGCGATGGACTGAGCTAGTCACTGTGATGGTTGCACTGAGCGAGGACTTCCTCGACAACTACCGGTAGTACACTCATGCCTGCCACTGACCAAAACTGAACTATCATCACAAGAGCCAAGTTGCCGTTATTTTACTTCCCCAGTTTTCTTTAAGAAACTATTCCAATCCTTGTGCTCAGAGGACACAACACTGAGTGAAACCTCCACAACAATAGCTCCTTGTCTTGTCTGGGGGGGGGGGGGTCTCTTAACCCTTTGGAGTCCGTAATTTTTTTGCTTCCGCAGAATTTGTGGCAGTCACGAAAATGCGCACACCATTTCCAACATAACTTTGGTTCTACTTCACCAATTTTGAAGATCTTGGGCTTGTTGGAAAGCTCTTGATGAGAGAAATACAATGAGCCCAAACTCGCCAAGCGAACTATTCATTGTCCGCCACAACGTGCCCCAAACGCGAGTCCAGCTCCAGATCTAAGACGAAATCGGTCTCCTGTAGCCATTTCACTGAATCTAGCTCGGAACTGTTCAAATTTTTTCGAGTAGAAGCTTACCTTGCCGTGACTTCGCGCCGCGCCGGTCCTGGCACGTGCCGCCTGTCATGAAGCTGGGAAAATCCCATTTTTTCACGCACTGCTGACTCGCAGCACGCTGCGCAGAAATTTCGAACTGTTTGATCGCTCGCCGCTCACTCAAACTTCATCTCAGAGACTTTGGACCTGTTCGAGGCGATAGCTGAGAGTTTTCTCTACCATCTAGACCCTTCGATTGTTGAATTTGGTCAGGATTTGGCCGAGAACCGAAAGTTTGACTGCGCCCACATGCATACAAAATGCCCATGGTTCGAAATCGAACCATGGACTCCAAAGGGTTAATCTGTCCTGACGTAAGGGTGTCAGTTGCTACAGTGACAGATTGAGAGGAAGCCATGTTGAGAGAGGGCACTTGTGACACATGACACGTACGCGCATGCTTGGCAATATGTGCCAGGCTGACACACAGGATGCATATTACTATGGAGTGTGTGTATGTGTGCGTGTAGATACAGAGCGGGAACACACACAACAGTAGCCTGCAGCCAAACAATCTGAAATAAGTAAATCAGCCGTTGGTGGATCCTTTGATCCATCAATGTAGGGATTGCAGCCAGTCAAAGTTGCTGTTCGGATCAGAAACGCTGACTTGGACTGTTTACTGCGTGTACTCGTGTACAGTCAGACCTCGCTTAACCGCACACATTCGTTTTCCACAAAAAATATCCGGATAGGCGAGGAAACCGGATAATCGAACACACATACTGTACGTATGCATGACTGTTTTGAGTCATTGGAAGAATACACAACGGCAGAAGTCGACAATTTAAGTGTGAGGAGCGGCGCGACTAGCGAACAAATGGTTGGCTGGTAAATCCAGGGCTGCTGCTGTTTGTTTTTTACTGTCGAGGTGTTGGACATGCTTAAGCAGGTGCTGATTATTTCAATCCCTCAAAGCACAACTAATCCTGTCCACCATCTAGTGCAGTCGCCTCATTCACTCTCCTGCGACACTAAACCCCACGTATCTCACATACAATCACGGTGTGGTTCTCATTATTCATGTGGCCGGAGAAACCCGCTATCGCTCTGCATACAATTGCATACATAGCCCGAGATGATTGCGTACCAACTTTGCGGCCTCGTAATTCCAGTATTGGTCAAGATATTCGATGAAAATTTCTATGTAAAATCTGCAATGGTGCCTCTAGCCAGTTGTGTGTTTGCCATAATTCCAACTCTCTAATTTTGGACTGAAGTTGTCAATGATCTCAATATTAAACCAGGATATTATTCTGAACATTGTGTGCGTGTGCTCATGTGTGTGTGTGTGTGTGTGTGTGTGTGTACATGATCTTTTTGGATCTGCTTTCTGCTGCTAGTACAACACAGAATATATCAGGCCCAGGAAGCAAGCTAGTTTGCTCCTGCCAGCTCGCTGCCTTCTTGTCGATGCCAGTCAGCCACGGTGTTCTGCGACACGACTCTGAAACGAACATTACCAGCCATGTGTGCTCATCTCCTGCTCGTGTGCAGGGTCAGCAACTGGCACTGCTAAGCAAACACGACCTCTGCCCTCCGTCAGGTAAAGGACAGCGTTGACATGTTTTTGTGCGTGCTTTGCACTCTGGCTGCCACAGTGATGCTATTCATGAGGTTGAGCGTATGGAGTCAACTGATAACTAGGTCTGACGATGTTGTCGTTATTCGCGTGTTGTTATACCTGAGGTCCGGCGTTATTCAAGCTGCATACTTGCGCATGAACAAACTGATCCTCTTACTTGATTTCAGAAGCAGGTCCCAAGTGCTGTGCGCTTCTCGTTGGCTGAATATTTGAAACAAACAAGAAGCATTGTTCTAGCGAACGACGCACATCTGCAATGCGTGTTTTTTTGTGTTTCTTTGTACTTTTCTATTTCATTTTTTGAATATTATCCTGATGTCATGGTAATGACATGGAAGGTCGTGCAAGCACTGAAAAGCGCTTGCGCTGTTTGAACCGGTCTTCTTCTTCTTTTTGGTCTTGCATTGCAAGGGTTTACCTGTATGTACAGTCGCTACATCATGGGTGTACATTGCACTGCTAACTTAGCCCTAGCCCCGTCTACTTCACCGTATGAAGTAATGTGTGCTGTTGTGCACCTAGTGCAGTTCCCGTGGCTATTTAGGTGAGCATCTGCATGCTGAATGCCGGCATGTAGACGCCTGACATTGGGCAACTGTTGATTTGTCCCGCACTACAGATAGTAGCCCCAGCGAGCAGATATCCCGTGTCAAGTTGGCGCCAGCAAGCCACCGCGTCGTGCGCAGTATCAATGACAGGGGTAAGTTTCGAAGCAGTAAACCACCACTACTAAACTATTCCACTTTCGTGTTCTTTCCAATAATGGATTTTGAGTAGTAAACTACTACCGGGAAGTACCACGAGAGCGCCCCACCGCCCTTTTGTGGTAGTATTTTGCGGAGCGAGGTCCTATCTGTAGGTACCTTGCACACATATTGCATATTGTGGGGATTTTCGTACGGATGCTGCACACTCTATTATGCATGTCCCGAAATACACGGCGCTTGCACCGTTCGGATGCAGGCCAGGCCAAGGTGCACGTGTGCATGTGCTGCTCCCCACAGTGCAGCACAGGGTTTTTTTCTTCTTTTTCCAGACTCCTGAATCGTATGCGCGCTGGTGACGAGAAACATAGAAATATAAACGTGTGGCCTTATGTCAATGCACCTTTTTGTGCTGTGTTACATTTGCATTCAGAAGAGCACGCCTCACCCCAGCTCACAGTCCGTGGTAAATCATCACCGCGTGCTATACCTTCAGCGATCATCAAAGTTGCAGTGCCTGTAGGGATCACACTTGTTCTTTGCCTTGCAGTTGTGAGTTTACTATGCTGCAAGGAAAAAGACGACCAGCCCGACCTACCGGCTGCTTCCACGACAAATCGTATGTCCAGGACACTGTCGAAGATGTAAGCGGTGTTCTGTGTGTGTGTGCGTGTGTGTGTGTTTGTGTGTGCTTGTTTAGTTGTTTAGTTTTGGAGTGGAAGGTTTCTTTTTTATGTGCGCTCCTTCCTCAGGATGTTCTAGCACCCGAAGCAGCTTTGCAGTGAAGACCAGGTTACAGCTATGATGGCCATCCACATAGCATTGCAAGTTGCCTGGTACAGGAAGGACAAGAAACCTCACAGTGCGAGAAGCGATATTTTGTAGATTTTATTGGATTTGAACTTGAACTGGCGGCAAAGTGAAAGAGTGTAGAGCAATGACTACTCTCATCGCCTGTCTGTGCTGCATGCTGGAAGGTGGTGCCCAAATTCTCCACAAGGAAGGGTTCGTTCATTCCTCCATTTATGTTTAGAGAGATGTTCAAGAAAAGAAACCCAATTTTGGACATCTCTGCCTGTGTGTGTGGGTGTCTCTCTCTCTCTCTCTCTCTCTCTCTCCCTCTTTCTTTCTCTCTCTCTCTCTCTTTCTTTCTCTCTCTCTCTCTCTCTCTCTCTCTCTCTCTCTCTCTCTCTCTCTGTCGTTTATGTTGTTACTCAGGGTATCTCCAGGTAACTTGGCTGACAAGGATGGTGAGGATGAAGCTATGTTGGGTGACTCCACACCACCTGAGCCAACACCAGAAGAACTGGAAGAGTTGAAACACCTAGAAGAGGAGAGAATCCGCCAGGAAGAGGAAAGGGCACGGCAGGAGGAAGAAGAGCGGTTGATACGAGAAGAAGAGGAACGCAAGCGCCTCGAAGAAGAGGAGAAATGGCGCAAGATCAAGGAGCAGCGCGAGGAAGAGGCTCGCAAAGAGAATGAGCAGCATGAGCTGTCAACAGGCCTGCGTCGGGCACTGACCATGCGCCGGTCTGTAGTAGGCGCGCAGCCGCTGGTAGTACGGCGCAACGAGCCTGATTCTGACAGCTGGTCGTCGTCGTCTTCATCCTCCTCGTCTTCCTCATCCTCAGAGAGTGATGGCAAGAGTGAAGCTGGTGTTGGAAAGAGCGAAGCCGGTGATGGTGAAAGCAATCGTGAGGAACGTTCTGCTGATGCCGACGACAAGAAGACAAAGAAGAAGAAAAAGAAAAAGAAGAAGAAGAAGGGTGACAAAGCGGACAGTGATAGCGACGGCTCTTCGCCTAAAGAAGTTGTTGTTGCTGGCCGCACCACTGTAGACGGTGAGGAGATCGTCTCTAAACCGGACACGATTCCAATGGGAATAGTGGAGCGCATGGCGCGTACATTGGCCACCCAGCAGGAAGAAACCGAAGCTGAAGTTGATGCGGCTTCCAGCGGAAGCAAGGTGGAAGATGTGGGGGGCATGGAGACTACTTGCAGCGGTAATGGCATCAGCATCGGATTGATATCACCTACGGAGAGTCTGGCTGAAGCTGCCGCGGACAAGCCTGAGGAAAGGAACAGTCAAGATAATGACGGAACAGCCGTGGACTTGGTCAAGGATGAAGTGATGCGCATGCTCATGAAACTGATGGGTGCCAAGGGAATTTATGGTGAGGGCAATATTGCAGCAAGTGATGCAGATTGCGATGATGGTGGGTTTGACAGTGACGAGTTCGACTCGTTCGACGATGACAATGAAGATGATGACCCTGAAAATGCTGGAGACAGTTGTATGCTTCTTGCTGTTGACGAGGAAGCCACCGCGGCGACCGACGTGGCTCCGATACCAGAGAGTGACAGTGTTACCGAAGTGAAGCCACAGTCAATCGCTCCCCAAAGCCTGGTGCAGGCCACGTCCATCATTGACTTTGCCACCAGGATGACCAACGCGGATGGTGTTCAGGTCGACCCGGCCAATTCTGAAGTGTGTGCCGCAGCCGCTGCGGCGGCCATGGTGAATATTTCACCCAGCGACATTGCTGCATGGGGACAGATGACTGAGCAAGAGAAGGAGAAATTCCTAAGCACCGCAGTCACAGGCCTCAACAACGGCAGCACTGACAAGCAACGGAAAAAGAAGAAGAGAGCTGGTCAGCGGCAGGGCGGGAAGGCAGGTACCACGCTGAAAAAGTTCTCCAGAGCGGTGTCGGTGCGACGGAAACACACCGCATCGGTAAAGTCTGCTGGGCCTGTGGAAGAGGAGGTAACGGAGCAGGATTTGAAGGAGTGGGAAGGTGTGGGATCGGACAGCGACACCGGCACTGGCGGTGCTCTGCAGGCTACTCGCAAGGCATCCTGCACTTCAACACTGCCGCTATGCCCTGAGGTGGGCGTTGAGAGGCCATCATGCAATACGTCTCTTCACTCCTTGGGGCGCGGCGGCAATCACTTGACGGTCGATGGTGCTGTATCACCGACCGACTCTGTTTCGTCGAAGGACTTCCTCGATCAGCTGGCCGGCGGTGAGGGCCAAGAGGCGAAGAAATCCCAGCCATTGAAGAGCGCAGCTGGTGTAGTGCGCCGTCTCTCCATGCGGAAAAATCGCATTGGCAGCATCTGCGATTCTAAAGACAAGGAAAACGTGTCGAAGCCTCAGCGAAGAAGGCAGTCCACAGAGCTGCGAGAGATTGACAATGACTGGGAGGAGGCCAAGATTGGCAAGAACTGGTAATGAATATCAGACTCTGTGTACTGCTTGAAGTGGCACTTGCTGTTCAATTGCCGTTGGCTGTTCGCTGGCACACTGTGTTTTTTTCTTTCTTTCAAATATACCTTTTGAGCCACCTGCTAAGTGTGGGCGTGTTACTGAACATTGACCGAAACCTAGTATCATGTAGTTGATGACCTCAGCTGCGTGCGCCTTCAATCCCCAATTGAACATTTGTATTGACTTCTCTGTGCACGTATTTTAATCGAATATCCAGTATCAAATCTTTTTTCAGGTGATGAGTTACGGTTTACACATTTTAATGTATCTCTTCATTGCACCTCTCTCCAGTGGCCGCTCTGCACAGGCATTTTCTTTGATTTTGTAGAAGTCCTAATTGTTTACTAGATCCAGTGCTGGGACATGGAGCGCTGGTATGTTTGCTATCTTGTTGCAGAAATTATGTTGTCTCTCGCCCTTTCTTGTTGTCCACCGCGAGTTTCTAGTTGTCTGTTGTGCTTCGAAGTGTCCCCGAGGTAAATCAGCTTTGATCTCCCTGCTGTCATCGGTTACTCTGTTGTTCTCAATTCTTACTGGTGGCAATTTTTTTATCCTTGATTGATTTTATTGGAGGTTGGAATAAAAGTTGAACGCTCTCTCTCTCTCTCCCTTTGCCATGACTTGTTATTTTATGTTCAGCTGTGATAAGTAGTGTTTTACCTACCAATAATATACTTCCTGATTTTACCTTAAGTCTCTTCCATTCACAAAATAATTAATAGCTGCAGCCTAGAGATCGCTCAACGTTTTCTTCAGACTTCGTAACTCACACTTCCTGTGAATCCACACAGGCGGGTGGGACGCAGCCCTCACTGTAACCCACACACTTCACGTACAAACTAGCACGCGGGGAGCCCCAAGTCATAAAATATTAACTGGTGTGAATGCACACACGCGGGGAGAGAGACAAACGGGAAAAGTCTGAAGAAAAATTTGACTGTCCCCACCAGGACTCGAGCCAGGGACCCTCGCTTGTAGCCAGCGATGCTCTAACCGGTAACCACTGAGCTATGGTGTAGTCGTCATCCCTGCAGAGATCGCTCAACGTTTTCTTCAGACTTCGTAACTCACACTTCCTGTGAATCCACACAGGCGGGTACGGGTGGGACGCAGCCCTCACTGTAGGGAAGTTCTGCTATACGTGAAACGTAGAGAAATCACGTAGAGAGCAGGTGTCTCGGTTAGAGTCTACGGCTTCGCGTGTTTTGGCTCCAGATTTCTACGCGGAGATGGGGTTCTCTACGTTGTGGCGCACGCAGAGAAAATGCATACGGATTTGCTGGGTATCGATCAACTGCATGCAGAAAATTGCCAAATATGGAAGGGGAAATTCCCAGTACACATTCCACGTGACTTCTCTAGGTGAAACGTAGAGCAGAACAGCATTTCTTAACGTTACGGGAACGCGAAGAAAGTTCGCGTGATTCTTTGCGTCGCGTTCCCAAAACGTAGAGCAGAACAGCATTTCTTAACGTTACGGGAACGCGAAGAAAGTTCGCGTGATTCTTTGCGTCGCGTTCCCAAAACGTAGAGCAGAACCTCCCTTGTAACCCACACACTTCACGTACAAACTAACACGCGTACGCGGGGAGCCCTAAGTCATAAAATATTAACTGGTTTGAGGGAAAGAGACAAACGGGAAAAGTCTGAAGAAAAAATAATTGACTGTCACCACCAGGACTCGAACCAGGGACCCTCGCTTGTAGCCAGCGATGCCCTAACCACTGAGCTATGGTGTAGTCGTCATCCCTGCAGAGACCGCTCAACGTTTTCTTCAGACTTCGTAACTCACACTTCCTGTGAATCCACACAGGCGGGTGGGACGCAGCCCTCACTGTGTTCACAACTGGCGCGTGGACGCGGTACGCTTGCGGTTCATGCGCCCCCAGGCGCTCAGTAGGTGTTGGCGGATAATGCTCGGTAATATGGGATATAATGCTCTCAGTAATGCTCCACAAAAGGCCATAATTATAATGCTCCAAATAATGCTGATAATGCTCCGCCGGATGTAATATAAACTCCTGAACCTTGCTGTATCGGCTAAGAAAAACGCTATAATATTGCACGCATGCTATGCAACATAGAACGCACAATCTGGATCCGCCGCAGAGACTCGGCTGAACTAACGGCCTCAGTAAGACCGGTGCCGGCTAGAGCCTTCCCAAGTCGTTTCTGATACGCCAAGAAGGACTCCTTGACCAGGTTCTGCCTCTGAGTTTCCCTCTCCAAACGGGACTTTCCTTGTTTGTGTCTCGCGGTAGCAATATGGGACATGATTATACTCTTCTTCCCTGACAATGTTGTATGGCATGCCAGGCACACTAACTTGCCACAGTCGCTTTTGAGCGGCTCCGCACCCGTGTTTCGGCACTGATGGCCACTTCAGTGCTCTGTCCATGAGCTACTCGCGTCCTTTTGGAAACATTTTCAGACGCTGTTTTCTGAAAAGACCGCTTCCTCGCTATCGCGGCAGGATCTGCAGTTTCCAACTCGACGACGTCACTATCATCAGAGGACTCCGCCAAAAGCTCATCTGGAGAAAGCCCAGCTTCCTCCCAATCCCAAGAACGGCATCGCGGCGAGTCAGCCATCAGCGTTGGCTGCTAGTTAGCTGGTCTTACACAATGATCAATGTCCGGTGAAAGTCCAGCGTTACTCTTCGACAAATGCAAAGACATGGACTCTTGCTTCGATGAAAAATGTTTTTTGTAACATTGTGACCGGGTAAGGTCTGGAATGTGTGCATGTGCGCACCTCCATGATCCACCGTTCCATGCTGGCTCATATTTGTTTCGTTGGTTCGGCGTTGTTACCTGGATCTTCAAAAAGTAAGTAATTACATTTTTGTAGTTGCTGGCCGAAGATAGACTTCCGGGACCGGAAGTTTCCAGTTCCACACTGTGCTGGACCACATTTGCACAGCTAGCTAGCTGCATGCTGGGCCTGGCACTGCGTGCATGCCACGATCTGTTTGGTACCATGCATGATGTGTGCGGTGGTCTATCGCTTGTTGTAGTAATACATCGCGTATAGTAATAAAAATAAATGTTGCCAATCAAAGACCAACGACAGCCGATACGAGTCTGTACATGAGGATGTGTGTAGATCTACTATGCAGTCCTGTAGAACGTCGTATAATGCCATTTTTGGCCTCGTAATTAGGCCCCGGCGGATAATGCTAGCATTTATATCTGGCATATTTAGCACTTTCTGGAAACTAGCATTGCACTAGCATAATCAGCAGGTTTTGCAGAAAACTAGCATATTCTTGCGAAAACTAGCCTATTCTTGCAAAACATGGGATTTTCAACTGTGTTCGCATCCGAAAACACTGGTTCACTTCAAATCTTCACTCTACTACTTGAACTAACTTGTAGGAGATCTATGACTCTGGCTCGGAGTCTGGGCACAAGCGTTGGGAAAAAAATTTGTGATGGGTGTAGAGGGGACGGCTCGATACCGCGCCGGGACGTTTTGACAGCCAAATTTGTATAGACCCAAACCGATCATCAGCGTTGATTTTTCACTCGAAATATGTTTGTGGAAGGAAACTGGCATGTTGAAGTTTGCTCTGGGGCCAGAGTCAATCGAACTGAGCCACTCCTTTGTGTTGACCCATTGCCTCCAAGTTGCCCAATTTTTCGCTTCAAAAAAGTTCAAATCAGAGGTGGCTCCAAACCGGACACGTTTTAGAGTGCACGTCAAATTCACTCTGGGTCTGAAATTAGGTAATTGCTATCGCTCCACGACGGCCAGTACAGAGTAACAATAAGCCTTGTGTGTGCTTCCATTAGTTTTGATTGGTATGCGGTGCTTTATTGGCGAGAGGCGAGCCGCTGTTTACCTGCGACAAGAAGTTGATTTTTCGAAAGTCGTAAAACTCAAGTCGCAGTGCGAAGCAACACGTCAAAAACTCACCTGCTTGATATGGCGCTTCTGGTCATCGCAGAGCCATGAAATTTTGGCTCGGAGTATAACACATCGTAGTCTCACTGTGACATATGTTTTCTAATCAAAATACCAAGAGAGAAAGTGAACATTGAGTCCGTTCCGGTTTGCAACCGGTGTCCTATTTGAAACCGTCCCCTCTACATGAGAAGCCGGTGAGAATGGGAGCGTTTTGTTTCCACCATCGTTTGCCGCTTAATATTATTCTTTGTTAGCTGATGAAGAACACACGTCATGGCTATGTCCGAGCAAGCAGCCAGAGACATTGTTGATCTAGTAAGCAGTACCGATGATCACTTTGATTCCGAGTTTGACGATGAAGGCGCCTCAGAATCAGAGTCCGAAGAGGACGAGGTCAGGACAGCGTGTGAACGTCTTCCAGAACCAGCCAGAGTAGCGATTTCCCGAAAACGATCTTTCCAGAGAAGTGGGAAAGAGTCCGTCGCTAAGCGTGGGCGAATTGCCGGTGGAAGTTCCACATTGACACGTCGTGGCAGCGTCCACCATCGCGTGCAGCAATTTCCAGGGGAATATTTGACCGTGTCCAGTGGGAAGATTTACTGCAGTGCTTGCAGCCAGACAGTTCAACCGAAGAACAGCATTGTGAAATCACACATTTCGAGCCAAATCACAAGACGGCCAAAGAGCGAAAGTCACGAGCCCAGCTACACCAGCAAGCGCTAACAGCTTCGTGGGAGAAGTACACTACAGACCATAAGAAGGAGCTGGCAGGAACAGGGCTATCTGGTGATGTAGCCAATGATGTCCTCATTCGAAGAGCCAACGTTGTAGAGTCTTTCCTCAAAGCAGGTGTGCCTCTGAGTAAGATAGACCACCTTCGTCCGTTGCTTGAAAGCAACTACTGTCGCATGACGTACAGCACTCACATGGCACATTTGGTGCCATTACTGTTGCAGAATGAGCAGTCTACCATCAAGAAGGAGATTGCAGCTCATCTCACCGTTATTGTCGATGGTACTTCACGCCTTGGTGAGGCACTTGCTGTTGTCCTCCGCTACGTCGATGGCGATTTCAACATACACCAACGCCTTGTACGTTTCTCTGTACTGTCCAAAAGCCTAGCTGGTACTGAACTAGCTCGAGAGCTCATCACAGTTTTGTCAACACAGCTGCAAGCTTCAAGCCACACGGTTCTTGCCTTGGTCCCAGACTGTGCAGCTGTTAATGGTGTTGCTGTTAGGGTTGAAACAGATCTTTTTGACCCCATATATAGTGGCATTAATTGAGCATAACGAGCATAATGAGCATTAAAACTAGCATAATGTGCCACTTTTACTAGCAGTGCTAGTAGCATAATTGCCGAAAATAACTAGCATTATCCGCCGGGGCCTGCTCGTAATGCTCCGGGTGGTGTATAATGCTCGATATAATGCCGGCATTATCCGCCAACACCTAGCGCTCAGCCTTTCACAAAAAACAGCAATACGAGTCGTATTTAGCGCGTGCGACACCTTCGAGTACTAATTTTTTGACCCCGCCAGTCAAAGTGACTGGCATGTACGCTGATACGCGCCTGATACGCGCTGAAAATTCCAACATGTTGGAAGTTCCATTTCGGCGCGTTACGAGATGTTACGGCTGGTCTCCTCAAACGGGTCGCCAACAACGTCACCACTGAACCACACCTGCAGCCGGTAACTGGGGAAGCATTCCGCTACCGCTCTGCCATAACGGACCCCCAGGCTAGGCTGGATATAGCAGCGAGTGGTGTCTGGGGTGGGCGTTTTGACCGCACTTTCTTCGACGTACGGGTTTTTA